CCAAGACCAAGACCAAGACCAAGACCAAGACCAAGACCAAGACCAAGACAAGACCAAGTCAAGACCAAGACCAAGACCAGGTCAAGACCAAGACCAAGACCAAGACCAAGTCAAGACCAAGTCAAGACCAAGACCAAGTCAAGACGCAAGTCAAGACCAAGACCAAGTCAAAGACGCAAGCAAGACAAGACCAAGACCAAGACCAAGTCAAGACCAAGTCAAGACAAGACAAGACCAAGACAAGACCAAGACCAAGTCAAGACCAAGACCTAGACCAAGACCAAGACCAAGACCAAGATTAAGACCAAGTCAAGACCAAGACCAAGACAAGACCAAGACCAAGACCAAGACCGCAAGACAAGACCAAGATTAAGACCAAGTCAAGACCAAGACCAAGAGGCCAAGACCAAGACCAAGACCAAGAAGACCACAGACCAAGACCAAGACCAAGACCAAGATTAAGATTAAGTTAAGACCAAGTCAGACAAGACCAAGACCAAGACCAAGACCAAGACCAAGATTAAGACCAAGTCAAGACAAGACAAGACCAAGACCAAGTCAAGACAAGTCAAGACCAAGACCAAGACCAAGACCAAGACCAAGACCAAGACCAAGACTAAGACCAAGTCAAGACCAAGACCAAGACCAAGACAAGACAAGACCAAGACCAAGACCAAGATAAGACCAAGACCAAGACCAAGACCAAGACCAAGTCAAGACCAAGACCAAGACCAAGACCAAGACCAAGTCAAGACCAAGACCAAGACCAAGACAAGACCAAGATCAAGACCAAGACCAAGACCAAGTCAAGACCAAGACCAAGACCAAGACCAAGACCAAGTCAAGACCAAGACAAGACAAGACCAAGACAAGATCAAGACCAAGTCAAGACCAAGACAAGACCAAGACCAAGACCAAGATCAAGACCTAGACAAGACCAAGACCAAGACCAAGAACCAACACCAAACAACAAGATTAAGACCAAGTCAAGACCAAGACCAAAGTCAAGACCAAGACAAGACCAAGACCAAGACCAAGACCAAGTCAAGACCAAGAAAGACAAGACAAGACCAAGTCAAGACCAAGACAAGACAAGACAAGACCAAGACCAAGACCAAGACCGACAAGACCAAGTCAAGACCAAGACAAGACAGACAAGACAAGAAAAAGACAAGAAAGACAAGACAGACCAAGACCAAGACCAAGACCAAGACCAAGTCAAGACCAAGACCAAGACCAAGTCAAGACAAGACCAAGACCAAGACCAGTCAAGACCAAGACCAAGACAAGATCAAGATCAAGACAAACCAAGACAAGACCAAGACCAAGACAAGACAGACCAAGACCAAGACCAAGATCAAGACCAAGACAAGACAAGACAAGACAAGTCAAGACCAAGACCAAGACCAAGACCAAGTCAAGACAAGACCAAGACCAAGACCAAGTCAAGACCAAGACCAAGACCAAGCCAAGACCAAGACCAAGACAAGACCAAGACAAGACCAAGACAAGTCAAGACCAAGACCAAGACAAGACCAAGACCAAGACCAAGACCAAGACCAGACAAGACCAAGACCAAGACCAAGACCAAGACCAAGATTAAGACCAAGTCAAGTCAAGACAAGACCAAGTCAAGACCAAGACCAAGACAAGACCAAGACCAAGATTAAGACCAAGTCAAGTCAAGACCAAGACAAGACCAAGACCAAGACCAAGACAAGACTAGACCAAGACCAAGACCAAGACCAAGACCAAGATTAAGACAAGTCAAGTCAAGACCAAGACCAATCAAGACCTAGACCAAGACCAAGACCAAGACCAAGACCAAGATTAAGACCAAGTCAAGACCAAGTCAAGACCAAGACATAGATATCTGTGGACGTCTTCATCTTGTGTTTAGGGGGCGTGTCCCTCAGTTAGACTGTACCAGTGGGAAGGTTGCGTCCGTAACCGGGGATAAAAATCAAACCATAAATGAATTTGTTGTTTTAGAAAGAGGAGTTTTCATCGTAATCTCAGTGAAGACGAGGAGAAGTCAAGACCAAGTCAAGACCAAGACCAAGACCAAGACCAAGACCAAGTCAAGACCAAGACAAGACAAGACAAGACCAAGACCAAGACAAGACCAAGACAAGACCAAGACAGACCAAGTCAAGACCAAGACCAAGACAAGACAAGACAAGACAAGACAAGACAAGACAAGACAAGACAAGACCAAGACCAAGTCAAGACCAAGTCAAGACAAGACCAAGACCAAATCAAAACCAAGTCAAGACAAGACCAAGACCAAGAAGACCAAGACCAAGACCAAGACCAAGACCAAGACCAAGTCAAGACCAAGACCAAGACCAAGACCAAGACAAGACCAAGACCAAGACCAAGTCAAGACAAGACCAAGACCAAGACAAGACCAAGACAGACCAAGACCAAGACCAAGACCAAGACAAGACAAGACAAGTCAAGACCAAGACCAAGACAAGACAAGACAAGACAAGACAAGACAAGACAAGACAAGACAAACAAGACAAGACAAGACCAAGTCAAGACCAAGTCAAGACCAAGACCAAGACCAAATCAAAACCAAGTCAAGACCAAGACCAAGACCAAGTCAAGACCAAGACCAAGACCAAGACCAAGACCAAGACCAAGACCAAGACAAGACCAAGTCAAGACCAAGACCAAGACAAGACCAAGACCAAGACCAAGACCAAGACAAGACCAAGTCAAGACCAAGACCAAGACAAGACAAGACCCTAGACCAAGACAAGACAAGACAAGACCAAGACAAGACAAGACAAGACCAAGGCAAGACAAGACAAGACCAAGTCAAGACCAAGACAAGACAAGACAAGACAAGACAAGACCAAGACCAAGACCAAGACCAAGACCAAGACCAAGACCAAGTCAAGACCAAGTCAAGACCAAGACCAAGACCAAGTCAAGACCAAGACCAAGATCAAGACCAAGACCAAGACCAAGACAAGACAAGACAAGACCAAGTCAAGACCAAGTCAAGACCAAGACCAAGACAAGACCAAGACCAAGACCAAGACCAAGACCAAGTCAAGACCAAGACCAAGACCAAGACCAAGTCAAGACCAAGACCAAGACCAAGACAAGACCAAGTCAAGACCAAGACCAAGACCAAGACCAAGACCAAGACCAAGACCTAGACCTAGACCAAGACCAAGACCAAGACCAAGATTAAGACCAAGTCAAGACCAAGACCAAGACCAAGACCAAGACCTAGACCAAGACCAAGACAAGACCTAGACCAAGACCAAGACCAAGACCAAGACCAAGACCAAGATTAAGACCAAGTCAAGTCAAGACCAAGACCAAGACCAAGACCAAGACCAAGACCAAGTCAAGACCAAGACCAAGACCAAGACCAAGACCTAGACCAAGACCAAGACCAAGACCAAGACCAAGACCAAGACCAAGATTAAGACCAAGTCAAGTCAAGACCAAGACCAAGTCAAGACCAAGACCAAGACCAAGACCAAGACCAAGACCTAGACCAAGACCAAGACCAAGACCAAGACCTAGACCAAGACCAAGACCAAGACCAAGACCAAGACCAAGACCTAGACCAAGACCAAGACCAAGACCAAGATTAAGACCAAGTCAAGTCAAGACCAAGACCAAGACCAAGACCAAGACCAAGACCAAGACCAAGACCAAGTCAAGACCAAGACAAGACAAGACCAAGACCAAGACCAAGACCAAGACCAAGACCAAGACCAAGACCAAGTCAAGACCAAGACAAGACAAGACCAAGACCAAGACCAAGACCAAGACCAAGACCAAGACCAAGTCAAGACCAAGACAAGACAAGACCAAGACCAAGACCAAGATTAAGACCAAGTCAAGTCAAGACCAAGACCAAGACCAAGACCAAGACCAAGACCATAGATATCTGTGAGACGTCTTCATCTTGTGTTTAGGGGGCGTGTCCCTCAGTTAGACTGTACCAGTGGGAAGGTTGCGTCCGTAACCGGGGGATAAAAATCAAACTATAAATGAATTTGTTGTTTTAGAAAGAGGAGTTTTCATCGTAATCTCAGTGAAGACGAGGAGAAACAGACGATCAGTGGAGGTCTAGACCGGTCTTCATTTCAAATCCAGAGTCCGTCCAGTCTGAGACTCAGACCGAGTAAAAAAGCTTTGGATTCTGAGACCAGATCTTCAAAAAGTGTCGAGACCAAGACCGATCTCGAGTACTTCAGTACAACACTACTTGGGCCCCTGCAGACTTGAGTGGTGCAACCTGTGCATCGTTGCTGCACCATGCTGTCCCTGAGGTAAGTCTATGTGCAATCAGCTAAAATACTCTAAAACTCAATAAATATAATCTTTAACCGTGTGATATGTTCATTCATTTATGTTGTGGTGATATTGATTTGTCACGTTTTAGCTTCATCTCCGTGGTGTGGCGTGCTAACCGTTAGCTAAATGATATGTTTCTACCTTTAGCAGCTGTGAGAAGATAAACGAGCTGCTCCGGAGGAAACTTTACCACCTTGTTTTTAGTTTATTATTTAAAGCTTCTATTTGCTGCCTTTCCTAAAAAACAATAGTTTGATCCTATAAAGATGAATTCCATTTTGTTTGTTGCAAGAAAGGAGACAACCAGGATTCAAATCAACCAACAAACACCATTTACACTTTCTTTACTTTTAGGAGTGTCATAAAGAAATGTGTTCCTTTCATTTTATTGAGAAATTGTAGCTTCTTCTTTGACAGTGGATTTGCATTAAAAAAATAAGATGTTTAAATTTATATCTTTATATTTATAAATGTGTACCGTTCACGCAGTTATAACCACCCAAAAGATTTCTTACTCATTCTTTATTTGCCAACATAGAAGAACATCCTGCTCTCCTCCAGGATGCTCCTCTCGCTCGTTTACACAGTGATGAGTCAAAAAGTAACTGTTCTCGCGATACTTCCATTTAGACCTCATCATTCCTCCTATGCCCTCTTCACATCAACGCCAATTAACACACCCATTAGATTCCTCGGTTAAACTCTTAATACAGAATTTGAATAATCACAACATACCCTTACAGTGGTTTCATATCACATGGAGATGTATATTTGAATACAAGTTGAGAAGACGAGGGAGCATTGAAGGAGACATATCCGCGAAGTGGAACGGGATCCCGCGAGATTTCGATGAGTTTACTTGAGTAAATGCCACGTCTTACCAGCGTACAGTGAAATATTAGCGGTTAACCGAACTAATCACACACAGGGCGGGGATTTATCCAGCGACAGGACAGGTAGAGACACCTCAGACTCTCCGGTAAGAATCGTTTTGTAGTTTTATGTGTTTTAGAGGCCGTTAGCGGCGATGCTTCTGCTGCAGCAACACGTTAGCATGTGAGCTAGCTGCAGGCTAACAGGCTTTCTTTACAACTTGAGTGAACAAACCTCTGATCTCTGACTTTACTTTGATCAGCTGATCTCTGTTTACTGTCACATTAAACTTTACTTTGATCAGCTGATCTCTGTTTACTGTCACATTAAACTTTACTTTGATCAGCTGATCTCTGTTTACTGTCACATTAAAGTCGTTTATTGTCTGATGTGTGAAGCTGAGAGAAGTTTGATTCATGTTAAACATCAGAGTCTGTTTTATTTACACTACATGTTCTTATTGACACAGGTGACGTTAAGTTAGCATGGTTAGTTAGCATGGTTAGTTAGCATCAACCTGAGGAGGGGATAGGGTTGGCTCAGAAAAAGAACACACATTAGCATAATGTGAGCCAAACATCCAAAAGGATTTCAAAATATGTAACTCTGACCCCTAGTGTTTAAAATGGGTACTGCAGTACTACACTCTAAACACCATAGAGAGCTGCCCCCCCCCCCAGAGTCACTCAGGTCACCATGTGGTGACTCTGAACTGTTTATCCATGTAGTAAATCAGGTGTTTGTCTCCGTCTCTCAGGTGATATTATGGGCTGCTTACGTCTGCTGCTTCTGTCCGTGGTCACTTCTGCACTACTCCTGTTGGCCTCCCAGCCAACCGAATCTCACAGCCATTCCCATGGCGACCATCACCACGGCCACCATCACCACGGCCACTCCCACGACGAGGACGAAGACGTGAGGATGTTCCACGGAGCGAGCAAGTGGAGCGCCGAGGCCAACCTGCCTTCAGAGGAGGAGGAGCATCACGGACACGCCCACGCTCATGACCATGGACACGCTCATGACCATGGACACGTTCATGATCACGGACACGCTCATGATCACGGACACGCCCACTCCCATGATCACGGACACGCCCACGCTCATGACCACGGACACGCCCATGACCACGGACACGCCCATGACCACGGACACGCTCATGACCATGGACACGCTCATGATCACGGACACGCCCACTCCCATGACCACGGACACGCCCATGACCACGGACACGCCCATGACCACGGACACGCCCATGACCACGGACACGCTCATCATGAAGAAGTTGTTCGGGTGCTCAAAGAGGGGAGAGCGCACGCCCACTCACACGGGGGAGAGAGCGTGAAGCGGGACGTGGTGGAGCTGTGGACGCAGGTGAGCTCGTGTTACGACAGCGTACGCCGCTTTAGTCTCTCATTTGAGGTGTTCCTCAGAACTTTATTTTGAAAGGGTGTTTCCTCCCAAATATTTAAAGCTGCTCTGATAAATGTGGACATGAAGAGCCTGTTGATAAATAAATTACAGGAATAGTTTTGATGTTTTTGGTAATTAACTTGTGACCTTCTTGGTGAGCGATAACTACGACGGAGGATTAGGGCTAGAGGTGGGCGATATGGAACAAATATCAGATCACGATTATTTTTTTGCAAAATCACAATCACGATTTTATCACGATTTTTTTCATTCTGTTCTTTAAGATAAGATAAGATAATCCTTTATTTATCCCACAATGGGGACATTTACATTGTTACAGCAGCAAAGAGCAAAGACTGAAAACAAAAAGTGAACACAGTACAATTTAAAAAAAAAAAAAGAAAAAAATTAAGAAGCTAGAAAAAAGAGCTAGAATAATAAAAATAAGGAAAAAACCTTGTTACGGCAGGAGCTGCTGTAACATGCAACCACCTCGTGCGGCGCTACTACTGCTACTACTTTAGATAAATTTGTAAGTTACTGACCAGTTCAACCAAACTTATTTACCTGTATAATGTTTTTAAATGCACAAAAACTGAGCAGACAAGTTTAATCTATTTGAAAAACATCTTTGTAGGAGGTCTGGAGGTCTCTCACCCAAAACATCTTTAGCAACAGAAATGTCTTTCTCTCAATTTGATCAATATTTATGAACAATTTGAAGGTTTTCCTCACCACTTTGAAATGATGATTTAGTTATGTGTCCTCTTTTTATGTTCATCAGGAACATTTTCACACAGTGATGCATTCATTTAAAAACATGTAGACTTTGAGTTCTTGTGTTTCTGTTCTGTTTTAGCCCTGCAGAGTTCCTCCAGCTGGAGCTTCATACAGGCTCTGCAGACTTTGTTGTTTTTTATGACATCATTGGACTAACTTTAGTTTAGTTTATATATAATCAAACATAATACAGAATGTGTTCATTCTGTGACACATGATCAAAGTAAGTTTTACTGACAGAAGAGTTGAATTCATAGAGGGGGCAGGACATTGTTGATTGACAGACAGACAGTCACCATGGTTACTCACTCTCACCTGCCTGCTGCTTTGTAACGTCGTTTAGTGTAATCCCTATAGGTTTAGTTATCACAACAGGTGAGCTTCAGGTGGAGAAGCTTGATAAGTAACTTTTAAAAACTGAGAGAGAGCAGAAAACACCGACAGCAACATTTGAAACACCGGGGTTATATCTCCCCTCACTGTCTGTCTGAGCTCCTCTCTGTCTGACTCTCTGCAGACTGTTAACGTCTCTCCGGCTCCTTAAACGGTTTCTTGTGTCGCTATCCGAGATGTAAACTTAACTGTGCACACTATGCAGAGAAGCTAACTGTTGCTCACGCCGTGTCGGTTTGGAAAAATATCAGTTGCATATAACCGAGATGGAGTTGTTTTTGAGGACTTTACTTTTAAGTTTCGTTTTCAGCGCTGCGGAGCAAAAGAGAGGGAGACGCGTCTGTGTCGCAGCATGAGAGAATAAACACATAAGCCCTGTTCTACGATCTCTCTGCTTTGGCAGATCGTCAGCACGTTAAAATCCTTCACGATCTAAGATCGTTATATAGAGCAGCAGCATCCTGTTCTCAAATGACAAACATGGAGCATCTTGTCCTTAAGGTTTCACTAATAAGGAAATAATCTACTTCCTTGTGTAGTCGGTAAAAACAGTTCAAGAGAAGTTTTCACTCCGTCGTAGATAAATGATGAGATTCATAACCTTTTTAATTTCACACTAACCTCCGATTAAAATCCAAACACAGATTCAAACCTTCATTGGTCGCTTGGTGAAGATCTGATGAAATGATGCTAACGTCCTGCCTGCTACAAACACAAACATTAAATGCTGCATCCTGCACCTTTAGCTCGCCGTTAGCAACACACCAAGTGTCCTTTCTGTGTCATATGACTTCATTAACCAACGTGTTTTAGATATTTTATTTTTTAGGTTTCTTTTCTTATTGGATAGGAGAGTGGAAACAGGGACGGGGGGGGGGGGGACATCAACCACAGGTCGGACTTGAACCGTTAGGCCATCTGCGCCCCAACCAGTGTGTTCATCACTAATTTACAGGCTCTAAAATTGATCATTTAATTGATTTAAAAACTGCTCAGTGCACACAGAAACTCTACAAGCTGGCTCGCTGATATTTACCGTACCGGGAAGTTGGAATGTACAGAAATTTCCACGTTGAAATCCTCCGTTGACATTGAAAAAAAATCCTTATACCAAGAGATTGCAGCCTGTAACCATGACAACCAGCTACACTTATACACGTGACTATAAAACATGTGACTCTGAGCAAAAACGAAGAAAAACGTGGGATGTTCTAAATTCATTCAAAGTTCCCTCAAAGCTAAGGGAAGCTCCTCCCATCTTTAGTCTCCTTACTTCCTGTTTTGTGGACTCTCT